GTATGTATGTATGTGTGTGTGTATGCATAAGCATCTCGGCTGCAGTGGAACCGGTATCCCCGGGAGAGTAGCAGCGGCCGATTGGCGACGTTCGAGGGCAGCCGTGATCCAGGACAAACCATCAATTTCCGGCACTGCCTCAGAACTACATGCCTTTTCGGGCAATGCCCCTGGTGGGCCTTCGCTGCAATCTGGATGGACGCACTGAGGTGCACCCTGGCCTCCGAGGACATAATAAAGTACCCGCCAGCCCGGCGAGAGAATACGGTCGGGAACTATGCCAGCGGCAACAGTCGAGAGTGCACTTTAGGACTTTCCTGGGTCAATGTATGTGCCAGGAAGCCCGAGGCTGGCTGTTCGACCCGGACTACTTCAATGCCTGGGACGCCAAGTGGGTTGACGGCCATCCATGTGCTCTGCTCACTGCCGCCAGGCTTTCTGCATACCCCCCGGATGAAGCGGCCTTAGAACGTTGGTGCCTTCTATACTACCCGAGCCTGCACAGCACCCTTTGGCCCTCCTACCTCGACCCCTTCTGCCTGGGCCACATCGACTTGCGCAGCCTGGACTGACGCAGGTAGGGCGGCACGACCTCAGCCTGACCTCCCACCCCATTGCTGCCCAGCGAAACGATTTGGCTCCAGGTACCGCTTTAAGCACCGCAGGTCGGCCTTTCTCAGCAACAGTTGGCAAGCGCATACATGCAGGCTACGACTTGCCTTCCAGAAGTTTGCACAGTGCCCCTCCCATGTTATCCTGCATATTCTAGGGCAGCTTTGCAGTCAAGGGTCAGACTTCCTTGTTGGCTTCTCAGCCTGGGCTCACAGCCAAAGCGGGACGGTCCGGACTTTCCAGACCTGCGAAGGCAACCGCGGCATGGCGGACCCTGACTCCGCGGACTTTGAGGAGGTCCTGGTGGAGGGGGCAGACGAGGGACGAGGCCAGCAGACTGGCCCTTGCACCCCCCGGTTCCCAGGCCTGTGCAGGCGCTACGAGTGCCGAGCCAGCAGCTCTCAGGCCGCATTGCGGGGTTCTGGGAGTCGGACTTGCTCCGATTCGTGTGCTCACGCATCTCCCCTGAGGATGGAGAGAACTGGACAATATATCTGTCACAGTGAGCCACCTCTCCCACGAGGAGGGGCTCCGCCCCAACACCCTTGAGGTCCAGGCGGCGGACTACGGGGCAGATGACTTGCTGGCCGAGGATGACAGGGACGAGGCACGACTTGCCACGAGAGACCTCGAGACGGACGACACCGCAGCCTCGGAGGCGGAGCCCTCCTCGGCGAACTCGGTCGCTGCCGAGATCTCGGCGGTCATGGCTCGAGAGGGCAGGACGGTCATGACCCCGGCGGAGCTACATCGACTTGAAGTCGAGCTCGAATTTCAAGATATACTCCGCAATATAGAAGGCGACCGGCGCATCATCGGGTGGTCAAGCGAACTCCCAGATCCTTCTCCAGACCGACCACGCAGCGGATCTTCAAGGCCTTCGTCCTCTACGGCGCCTTCCTCCGGGTCTATACCCCCACCGCCAAGCCGAAGGTGAGTCGCAAGTCGGGGCCCCCAGTCGATTACATGCCTCGAACCTCTCGGCGTCCGCCTAACCCACCGCCTTGCTGTACAGGCGGACCCGGGAAGACTGATCAAGTGAGGGCTGGGGACAGGTTCACACCAGAGAGGGCAAGCCGTCAGGATGGGCTTCGCTTCATGCCCCCTGCCCTTCAAGTATTGGATGGTCTTTCGGAGGGTGCCTGCTTCAATGGTTTCAGAAGATGGCACGTAAGACGAGCCGTTTGGCGTACTCTGACTTTCAGAGCTCTGGGAAGTTCAGTCGCTACAGGGCCCCCTCCGAATGGGGCCCGCCAATGGTCCCCTCCGAATGGGACACGTCTGCGATCACCCGCTCTCGCGCATCTTTGGCCTCGAGAAAAAATACCAGCGGGTGATGCTCGCCTGGTCCGAGTTGATGTGTGGCTTTTATGCGTCTTACAGACAGTCTCAGCACTCTTTACAGTACAGTCACTGCCTATGACATTGCCGGCCAGGTACGCTACCAGCAGCCCCCCTCCTTTGACGTCGGCGGCTCATATGTGTGCATTCTTATTCGTCACGTACACCATGGTTTTCCTGGCCTCCCTCTTTGACCTGGCCAGGTACCCCACGGTGACGACACAGCCGGCCACGCGTGGACCACCACAGCGTCTGCGCCCCAGCTTGCGTATCATTATGTGGCCTTCTTCCTCTCTCGCGAAGCCGCGGCCAGCGACACTCATCAGGTCACTGCACTCTCCATCTTCCAGTACTACCAGCAGCCGCCCGGGTCCCAAGTCCCGGGGCAGTGGAACCATAGCTAGCAGCGCCCCAACGCGACTCTGTCGTTTGCTGATTTTTCTTTCTTTGCCAATGTTGGTTTCCACTGTTGATGCGAGGGTTGAGTCCGCTGCGCACTTCAGGGACTCAGAAGCCTCAAAGCGTGCTTCAACGGTATATGCCGGCGCGAAGCCAAGTGCATTTCGCCACCAGCCCGCTCTACAACAAGCGCCTCCACCAACCATTCGGAAACGGGCTCTCCGACGAGCAATTTTTCGGGCTGAACAAAGCCCCACTCATACAACCTGGTATCGCGGCAGGCTTCTCCGACTGGATCAGCTACGACATCCCCGGTCGACTCAGGACGCAGCCGCAGCCAAGCCCGTGCATCAGGCCCGACAACCGGTCGCGCAGCGATCCCGCCTCAGGATAGTGAACTGGAACACAGGTGGTCTCCCCAACACCCGCTATCGTGAAATTCTTGTTTGGCTGCAGCAGGAACACGAGGCCAACCGACCCGTGGACCTCTGTATCCTCCTGGAAACAGCCTGGAGAGAGGACTCGGAGTTCACGGCCTCACTGGATCAACCGGGCGCTCAGACATGGCATGCAGGCCATAGTTCAGGACCAGACCGAGCAGGCATCTTATGTCTCATCCGGTCTGGACTGCTACCGGCCTCACACCTCCGGTATAACATCCTCGAGCCCGGCCGCTTAGTCCACCTACGCCTGTTGTTTGACATGCCCATGCACATCCTTTGTGCCTACCAATGGGCCTGGAATCCCAGCAAACTGGCGCTCCAAGGCAAACACCGGGCCGATGCTATGACCAAGCAACGGCGGCGGATTTGGCAAGCCATTGACAGGTGGGCTGGCAGCATTCCCCAAAGAAGTACATGCCTCTTGTTGGGCGACTTCAACTCTACCGTGACCCCCGAGGCACCCCTCAGTGGCCCAGGAGTGGTTCAGAATCAGGCGCACCACCCCGACCAGAGTGCTTTCCAGGAAATTCTGAGGGCACATATAGGCTCTGTGCACTCAACTCGTGGTCTGGCGCAGGGGTCAAGGCCAGAACCTACATCCCGCCGAACGCCTCCATCCAGCACGGCTCTCAGATCGACTTCGTGATTGGCAGGGTGGTGCAAGTCGACCCCCGGCCAAGCAGTCCCGCTCTTTCATGGCTGATTTTGTGCCCCGCACCGGATGCAGGCACCTCCCTTTGTGCACAACTACCACTGCCGAGGAGGCCGGCGCCGCTCCCCCGTCCACAACGACCCCGGACGGTCCAGGCCGCTCTGAAGCAGCCTCCCTTCGTGCAACTTCTTCAAGCACAAGTGGATGTGGGTCTTGGCCAACCAGCCCAGGCTGGCCGTACGCAGCCCAACCCGGAGATTTCAGTGGATGCAATTCTCCTTGCAGGATGGCAACAAACAGTCAATGCCCAGGCTCAGGCTCGGACTCACCCAGGCCATGCGCCTCCCTCTGACACACAGCTTGAACCAGTGTCTCTTACGCAACAGGTCCGACACATGTGGGCTACGCGCACCTCCCTTCAAACCGTGAGCCGTGAGCCAACTTCTTGGGAGGTGGAGGCGTGCCGGAACCTCCCCCAGCCTTTTTCTGAGGGCCTGGTTGACTGCAGCCCAGCTCCAACGCCAGGTCCGCGTACTTCGACAACAATGCCGGGCCAGAAAGATCCACAAGGTTGCCGAGGTGGTACAGTCCTCTGACATCTACCAGGCAGCCAAACGCTTTGCGCCGAGGTGCCCCCGACGCCGATTACAACTTCGGGCTGCAGACGGCTCCCTGCAAACCCACAAAATGGAGTTCGATCAGATTATCAAGTATTTCCGTGCCCTCTATGACGGCCCGGAGACCGAACCACCCCGTTTGAGTCAGGACCTCCTTATCACCTCCGCGGAGATTCTGGAGGCCCTCGAGCGCTTCAAGCCCTCCAAGGCCATGCCCAGCACCAGTGCGCCCGCAGCTTTATGGAAATGGTTTCGACAGGACATAGCACCCCAGCTCGAGTCGCTCTTCACTCGGCACCTCTGCAGGGACACCTCGTCCCTGCCCCGGTCCTGGTGTACCAGCGAACTTGTCCTAGAAACCGGGCAAACCCATGAGGACCCCGGCTCACCTGCGACCCATCTCACTACTACCAGCTCAAGCCAAGATGTACAGGGCCCAGCTCTTGCGTTCCTGGCCCAGATTCCGCAATACGCCTACGTTGCGGGACGGACCTTGGCTCAGGCCTTAGAAAGAGTCATTGGGCATTGCGCCTCTGTCCGCCAATTGGTGCAGGCCAACGCCTGCAACATCCACGGCAAGCGCTACGGCCACGTGAACGCCAAGCTCTACGGAGGCTGCCACCTATCCCTAGACATTTCATGCGCCTACGACCATGTCCCATGGGAGGCTCTCAAGTCCGCTTTACAGTTCGCAGCAGTACCCCAGCCCCTCATCGAGGCCATCCTACTTGTACATCATACCGCGCGCCTTTGCATTACACACTGTGGGTTCACACAAGAAGTCCCATTGAAACGCGGACTGAGGCAAGGTTGCGGACTATCACCACTGCTCTGGGCAGTGTACTGCAAATGCACGACCCTGAGCTCCTAGACATTCACCGCGCCAATACCAGTTACGCAGATGACCTGCACTTTGGCTGGACCATCTTGTGCGGCAGGGATTTGGAGCGGGCCTATGCGGCCATGAAGCACGTCCTGACGCACCTGCTCAGGCAAGGCCTGACCATCAGCCAGGATAAGACGGTCGTCATTCTTGAGCTGCAGGGACCCCAGGCCAGCAAGGCCCTGGACCGCTACACGGTGCAACGGCCCACAGGCCGACACTTTCGGTTTGTCATCGACGAAAAAGTCCTCCATTTGAAGATTGTGTCACAACACGTCTACCTGGGGGCGGTCATAGGATTCCGCAAATTCGAGCAGGAAACCTTCAAGCACCGGCTGGCACTGGCGAGGAACTCTTTCTCCAGGCTCTCGGTTATTCTTCGCAACCGGACTGTGCCACTTAAGCTGCGACTACAGCTATGGCAGGGCTGCATTTGGCCAGCGATGCTGCATTCCCTGGACTGCACGGGTCTCCCTCTTAAGGAATTCCAATCCATGCAGTCTCAACTCATCAAACAGGCCAGGTCGATCGCCAAGTCCCACAGCGTGCTCACCAAGGAGACCAACCCTGATTTGTGCGCCGCCTTGGCCTCCCTGATCCGGTCGCCAGATTGCAGCAGGCACTCCAGCAGAGAACGGCACTGGATCAGTCGCTTCCAGATATGCTTGCACCAGGCGAGGCCCAGTTACAATGGCGCGGCATTCTGAGAGGGCACCTCTTTGATGCAGCTAGCTGTTGGAGCCCAGGGACCCCAGCTGCTACTCCTCCCAAAGCCAGCTTGCTACCAGTTACCAAGGTGTTACATGAAGTCTTCAGCTGTGAGGAATGCGGGCAACAGTTCTCCACCCAAGCCTCCCTACGCAGACATGTTTTCTGTCATCATCTCAACGAAGCACAACAGCAGCAGCGACAGTCAGCGGCCCAAGAGGCTATCAAAGGAGCGGGGATGGCGCACGCCAAAGACGGCATGCCCCAATGCAAGCACTGCTTACATGCTTTCAGCACCTGGCATGCCTTCAACTACCATGTCAATACGCGAAGTTGTGAGTTTTTGCGTGCCATATACCAGAATCACACTACTAGCTCGGAAGTGGTGCCACTGCTCACTGAAGCCCTCGTCTCATCGGCGGAGATTCTCACCTATGCTAAAGACTGTAGATGGCAAGACCTCGCCCTTCTTCCGGCGGTCCAGAGCAAACACCACCATTGTCTCGAATGTCATCACTGGAGTACCTCACCTCAGTATGTCCGTAGACACATGGCGGCTAAGCACCCTGAATGCAAAGTCCTGGTCGACCGCTGCATCCAGGATATCAAGGACAGCAAGCTGAGCCTCTCGAGTCCCTGCCAATACTGTGGCCAAGCCTTTAAGCGTAAGGATGCCCACCTCCGATCATGTATAGGAATCTTCAATGGTGTCTATCTCCATCGCAGACTAGCCAGGGGTAAGGAAGCCATCCTTACCGGTGACCACCCGGAGTCACTTCGCGAACATGTTCGGCGACCTCATGGCACGCAGGCAGGAGATGAACACGCCGACGGAGCTCATGATGGCCACACAGGAGCTCAACTTCCTCAAGTCCATGACCCACCAGGCGCAGCACTCCCGGGCAATGGAGTGGAGCCATGCTCTAGCGGTGGACGACGACGAGGAACTCCAGGAGGACCACCCTCCCAAGTGGCAAAGGCCAAGCCAAAAGGGAGGACAGCCAGGCAAAGGACGCGGCCCGAAGCGGGCGAATGCCCAAGCCTCACCCTCCCACAGCTCCTGGCCAAGCAACAGGGATGCAAGGACGGATCAGCCACGGGAGCCCCATCGCCGCGGCCAGCCACGTTCGGACCCCGGCCAAGAGCTGACGGAGATGCGCTCCCTCGTCAACATGTTGTCGAAGCTGGTGCTCCGGCAAGAAGCGCAACAGACGATTCTCCGCCAAGACTCCGGCTTTATGCTGTTCATTCAAGCGCGGACGCAGGGCAACTTAGCTCAGGAATTTTACAAAATAGGCCAGGCCTGGCATACCACGAAGAAGGAGAATCCCGAGGCACTTCGGGCACCAATGAGGGTAGTTCTCTACCAACATTTCCTGAGCGTGGTCAAGGCCAAGTTTTCCCAGATGCTAAGTACCCCGTCCTCCCGCTCGACTGCGGAGGGTCTGGGCTGGGCGTCGGCAACAGGGGAGGAGATCTACGGCATCAAGTGGGACCCTGCTCAACAGACCCATGTTCGCGACACCTCAGCCCCGGTCCTCACGCCGCAGGAGGTGAACGACATCCTGGACAAGCTCATCGTAGCAGCACCGCAACCACTGGTGGTACAGAGGTTTCACGCGAGCCGCCCTCTAGCTGCGGAGTCCGAATCACCGGTGGTGAGCATGTTCATGGAGATCGGCCTGCGCACCCAGGAGGCCCAAGCAACCTGGCTGGGGCTTCACCGATTGGTCGGCTCCTCTGTATGGGCGGCGAGCGGGTGCTACCTTCGCCACGAGCGCATGAAGATGAGCGCCCTGGCCCAGAAGATCTCCTCGTTGACCCAATCCGGAAACTGAGGCTCGGTAATCGGCAGAACTTCTGTTATGCCAATACTGTAATGCTGGGGCTTTTGCATCTGGATAGCGGCTTGGCAGCTCAGGGTTACACCATCTTTGCTGATCGTCTTCGGAAGGTTGCCCAAATTCTTAAGGGGTCCAACGGGCGCCTGATTCACCTCTGGGACATTGTTGAGTGGCTATCCGAGATGCAGGGTTGGGGTTCTCCGGGGCTGCAACATGATGCTGTATCTCGGCGCCCGGCCTTCTTTCAACAGGGAGGCCACAGAGCTTCCATGGCAAGCTAGATGCCTCGATGGGGACGAGGCGGCTATAGTTGACCAGGGCCAATCGGCCCCCCTGATCCTGCTACCACCTTCCGAGGCCTCTTTAGGGGACAAGGGTGTGACGGTTCAGCGCTTGATTGATCAATGGTGCCAGCAGGACCAGGTTCATGCAGCCTTAATCGCCCCTCCGGCGATAATTTTGCAGGTAGGTCGTTTCGACTATGATGAACATCATCATGTTGCCACCAAACGCCGGTATGCTGTGGGCTTCGATTATGTCGTTAGGCTTCCTATTTTTGTCGGCACTCATTGTACTCGTACCCGTTCTGAGACCTACCACCTGCGTGCTGCTATTGCTCATATAGGAGATGCCCCGACTCAAGGTCACTACCGATCGCTGTTGTTTGGTAGTTCTCAACATATTTATCTCTCTGACGACTGGACCGGCTTGGAGCCGATCCAGGATGCGAACCCTTACTGCTCTGACGTGTACCTGTTCGTTTATCAGAGATCGGAGTGACTGCCCTGCTTTCTGAGGGCATGCGTGCCGGGGGCAGAGTCGTCTTTTCTTAGGAGTTTCGTTGGTGTGGAGGATGTGCATTGCACAGTCGGACCGGGCTCTTAGAGCTTGTCCTCCATCGCAGTAGCCGAGATCCCTCTGCAACGCGGAAAGTGAAAGTGAAAGTGTGTATGTATGTATGTATGTATGTATGTATGTGTGTATGTATGCATGTATGTATGTATGTATGTAAGTAAGTAAGTATGTATGTATATATGTATGTATGCATGTATGTATGTATACACGCGCACGATAGCATGCCAGAGTGAGTATAGTAAACTATATCTTACCAACCGATCGTAGGAAGATTCAGCTTTTCTCAGCAAATGAATCAAGCAAGCGAAGCGGAATGCAGCCATCCCGCGTGTCAGTATTAGCAGTATTGAGGTGCAGAGCATTGGATTAGAGAATGGAGAAGGATTGCCACGTATATGATACCATGTCGAATTTACGAGGGTATCGTAGAGCCGATTTTCCTCCGTTTGTTTCAGACGCCACAAAGGTTCAAGTTTCAGCGACATCGGACTGGAAGGTTAGAGCAATGCAGAAGTGGCTGCCGTGCGCCTCCATTGCCGCAGCACCTGCGGCACCAATCATGCAAGACTCGTCAGA